ATGGTCAGAGTTCAGTGCTTGGGCCAGGAATTGTGGAAGTTCAGGGCAAGCAGACCCAACCTGGCTATCAATCACCTGCCATTCCCATCCAGTAATGACCATCTCCTTCAAGTCATCCTTCTTCTGGCACATTGAGTCCAGTGACAGGTAGCCACCAGTGCTGATCTCAGGCTCTGTAGTCTTGCAGCCAGCCTGCACTGCCCTCAGGAAAGTCACCAAGTGGCTGCTGGACACTGAGGCAAACCTTTCACAACCAAGTGGCTCACACAGCTGGTTCTGGGACAGCTGGGCCAAAGACCTGTTGGTCTCTATCACTTGGTCTTTGTTTGCCATAGCAGATGGCAATTCAAAACAAATTGATTCTCCAATTTTGGCCAGGGAGAAACCAATCTGAGCCATCACAGCACCTTTGCTGTGCACATCAGCCACAGACACTAGTTGCCCACCTCTGTTCTTCACATGCACCAGAATCATCTTTGGCTCAATGCATTGTCTGTAGCATAGGCCATTCTGCTTCAGGATCTCCAGAATGCGGTTGCATCTGCTGGTAATGGGTAGACTGCTGTCTTGCTGAACCCTTACCACTTCACCCTTCCATGTAGCACCAGCCATGGCTTTAGAGCCAGTGTCACAGAAAGTCACTGTCTGTTTTCTTGTGTTGGCATGAGGTGCTTCTTTGCTTATTGTGCTGTCTTGTGTATTTCTGTTGTCTTGTCTACATCTTGTCCTGTTTACTTGTGTCCATGTTACTTCTTTATTTGTGTCCTTGTGCCCTTTGAGGGCAGGAGCTAAGTCTTTAAGGTTATTTCATGTAATTTAACCAAATGTTCAACCCATGTGCAGCAGTTCCTTGGGAACACATTTTCTTGAGAGAAACAGCAGCAAGTTTTCCTGCCTTGGTTCCCTTGAAAACCAAGAGCAAAGTTGTGGCACAATGTCCACAGGAAAAGAGCTTAACAACAGCTGAAACTTTAGGAGAGCCTGCTTGGGCTAAAGATTCTGAGCTTGTATAGAGCTTTGTTTGGGTCATTGAGCTTATATATGGCTGACATGTTTTCCATGTTTTTTTCCCCTGCTTTCTCTTGTGTTCTCACGAGGTTCACTGAAAGAATGTGAATCTTCTGGCTTTCTTCAAGACTTTGTGCATTTTTTATGGAAATGTTTTTTTTCAATTATTTGTTTTTTTGGGCCAAAAACATGAAAATTTATTCTAAATGTTAATTTCCTAACTTAGCTAACCACTTAGCTAAATACCTAGCTAACTATGCTAACTTTGAGGCTAAGTATTTATCTTCCCTTAACATAATTAGCATGTCTGATGGCTAACCACTTAACATAATTGTGTTGTTTAGAAACTTTAGCTAAGTTTTAGCTAGACACTTATTAACTTCCTGACACAAGTAGAAGCCTTACAAGTGGTTAGCATATGCTTAGGATGTTCTTAAAAGGTATTTAGGTAGCTACTAGAAGGCTATTCCTAAAAACTTTAAGTCACTAGCAAACCCCAGATCATCCAAGTACGTGGTTGGACGACAAAGAGTCGGACGACGAAGTTCTCCGCAGACAATACCTTCATCTCTGGGAAGCTGTGCGGTCCTTTGAACCAGAGTTTGTTGATGCTGAGATGAAGCGCAGACAAGGTCTTGCCGCAGAGGGATCAACTCTCGTTTGACTGCCGAGGGCTGGGTGTGCGTTGTTATGAACCGCATCCGGGTCTGAATTGCTGTGCTTCAGTAGCTTCGCCTTTCATTTAGAGTTGCGAACCGCAGAATGCCTCTGTCACTTGGTTTTGGTTTCTGTGTGCGTTGTTACGAACCGCACAAAAAACCATGATCGTATTGCATACATGTGAAAAAAACATGCTGTCGTGGGAGCGGGTAAATGCAAGGAGGGATCAACTCTCGTTTTGGAACCCAGTCTTGCGCTTCTCAGCCTCACATGCTGGAATCAGAGCAAAAAAACACTTCAAAAACACCACCAAAAAATCAATGAAGTGGAATCAAGGTGCATAGCGATAGGTGTGCCACTGTCCACGCACATCTTGCCACTGGAAGCCATCCTGATTGTGCACAATTCCGGTTTGTGCAGTCAGGTTTGCAGGTACTCCTTGTCCAGCATGTCCTTGAGGGACTCCATATCCAGCATGTCCAGCTGGAGCAGGTACTCGTACTCCATGCCATGGAGCCTCCAACTGCATTGCTTAAAAAAAAAGCTTCTATCCAGACAGACTAGTCAAAGTTGAAGTAAAAAGCCAAGAAGCTGGTGCATGTGCAGGTCCAACATCTGCAGGAGCTGGTGCAGCACTGGCAGCCACTGCAGCAGCCAGAGAACCACCATGTTTAGGATGCCCATCTCCACCCTTCTGATGCTCAGCCTCAGAAAGTCCAAGGGAACACATGATTCAAGTTTCCTTGTTGTATCAACACCCCCCCCCAAAAAACAAGGGGGGGCCTGAGAACCCAAAAGCAAAACGACAGCAAACAAATTCGAGTAATAATTGGTTTATTTCCCTTTCGCCTCTTGCCAGCACCTTTTTGGAAGATGAACATTATGGGCGCATTCACTGCAAAATTCATTTTTTCAGCTCTACAGAGACTTTTACACACAGAGGACGTTTTACACAGAAGCAAGGTTTTGTTTTGTGTAAAAGACTTCTCTGTGTCAAAGCCTCTGGGTCCAGCATGCTGTCTCGCTCCCTCCCACGAAGCTCTCCCCAAGCTATTTCCACGGTTTCCCCTCCGTCCAGCATGCTGTCTCGCTCCCTCCCGGCGAAGCTGTCCGCAAGCTATTTGCACCTCCCCTTCCTTCCTCCCTTCCTTCCTCCCTCCCTTTCTTCCTCCCTTCCTTCCTTTCTTCCTTCCTTCCTTCTTTCCTTCCTTCCCATCTCCGTCCAACACTACGTATCGCTCCCCCGCAGCAAACGAGAAACTAAACGAGAACCAAGCATCGGAGATACTAGAGGGAAAAAACCGGTATCGTATCCTACAAAATTGCCAAGCCACTGCCGCATCTATACATTTGGTTATTCAACATAGCCATGGTTTCCATGGCCATAGAAATAGTGAGGGCCCCATTAAAAATAATGTTTTTCCATAGTTACTTTCCATGGTCAGGTTGGTTGGTCCTCACCTTTTTTCTTCTGAAGCCGGACCCGCCGAATCTTCGTTCTGGGGCAAAAAAAGCCGCCTTTAGTCGCGAGTCGCCATGCACGAAGTTCGCCAAGCAATGGGGATGTCACTGGGAAGAATATGGGGATATCATGGCGGTATCATGGGAAGATAGGATTATAACATGATATAACATGATTTAACGCCATAGTAGAATTCGCGGGTGAAACCACATCGTGCTTGTCGTCGTGCAACTGGATCCTTGTCCAGACACACTGCTGAGTCTCGGGCGTGTCATGGGATGTTGAGAAAACCTTTGTAAACATATATATATATGTGACTGATGATTTTCAATGATATCTATATCAATCCATTTGTGTATGTGCATATATTTACATTTTCATATATATATATACAGTATATGGATCTACTACCGGCAAATGAACACTTCCCTATGGAATACCACCGTTTTTCATGGCTAAAGCATCTCCTTTTACAGGCCATGTTTGGCACGCAGTGAGATTACCAGAGGGTAGATGTTGCGCATGTCCTGAACTTGGATACCCAATGGGCCCTGCACTTTAATCATCAGTTGTCTTGTCAAAATAACCAGTTTGGAGTATCCAAATTTTGAGGCACGGACCAAGAGCTGCTAAGGGGGACACTGTCGAAATCCAGCCCGTTGTACAGGGGTTTGGCGAGAGTTGCCGTCTTGCCGAACGAAGTTTGGCTTTCCCGCCAAGTGCGGATGGATGCTTGCATGACAAGTGGTCATACATGTAAACAAACAAAGATGTACAGGCTACAGCAAAAAATGTTGCCCATCCAGTTCTGCATTTGGATATCCTCTTCTATCTCTTTGGGCACCATCAATGTCAGGCCCCAAACGCTGGGAGGGTCATCGGTCATCGGCGGCCAACTGCGGCAAGACTAGCAACTCAGAGATAGAAAGCTACGCTCCTTAAAACCAACACGAAGCATCTCAGTTGCACTGAAACACTGCTGATCACTCTGGCGTGCTTCATCTATTTCATCTGATTGCAACTTGTTGTATCTGCAATCAAACAAGAAGTTTCAGAATAGATTTCCTCACACATCACCTGTGGGTGAACATCACCACGTAGTGAGATTTCAGGGCTTTGACAAAGTCAGAAGGGATACAATTTTTTCACGAATTTCGTGGGTTTTCTAGGGATTTTTTTTCACCCATTTGATCCATTTGGTGGTCAAAAAATCTCCATATTTCTTCTATCTACCAACGCAAACTCGCCTCATTTAAATACGTCACAATTTCAAACCCTTATTTGATATTCAAGTATTTACTAAATGGTTCTCCTCGCATGATATAGTGACATAGCATTGCTTGGTGGCGCCTCCCGTCCTCCCCTTGCCACCAGGGTCCATTGCACAGGAAAGACCAGCCAGGAAACAAACCTGCAGAAAGCCATATACATCTTGCTGTGTGCCCCTCACTGGTCCTGTCATTTGTGGCCAGAAAGAGGCGATCGCAGTCCTCGACATAATCTTTCGACATAATCTTGCTTGGTGGCGCCTCCCTTCCTCCCCTTGCCACCAGGTTCTAGGATCTCTATTTATAGAAGCCGCATGCTGTTCACATGTTGAATGTTTGGTTGGTGGCATATCTTTTTTTCCCCTATCACCACGTTCGTGAACTTGAGCCGGAGGTTTTTTCCAGGCGCAAACTCACGCTTGAGCCATGCTTGAATAATGTCAAAACTCGAAACATGTGATGGTTTCAGGAAACCGTTTCCAAAAAGCACGGCAACAAAGCAACAGACATGACGCCGGATAACTCCATCCCCACCATTGGGCGGGCGAAATTTTGCCTTTCTACACAAGCAGGCGGCTTTGAAAGCTATCTATGGCCTTCCGCTAGCCACATCGTCTTTGGCGTGGCGGCTCTTCCGCCCGCCTTTCCAAACGTTCCAATAAACTCCGGGGCATTTCACTTGGCTTCCGTTTCTTGGTTGTGGTCACAGCGGCATCCCATTCTGCCGCATGATACAAATAGCGGCCTCCGGTGTCACATGGCCGTTTCAACGGCAAGGAAGCAAAGGGCGGAAAGACCTTCAGAGTAGCCAGCTGCTGTATTACGAGTTTTGCAGTGCTGCTGCTCCGTCTTTGCAGTTCAGCAAACACATGTGTTAAATATTCAGGGGGACCAGTTTCAAAAACTGTCCAGTCAGGTTCTCCAGCGTCACCCTCAGGGAAATTGAGTAGAAGGGTTGTTGCGAGGCAGGTTGCGCGACCCAGAATCATGTAATAGTGTAACCACTTGTCGTCGTTGCTGTCTAACAGTTTGAGGTCCACAGTGTGGCCCATGGGCACAGAAGCTTCATCCTTTGCCGTCTTTCCTTGCATGTTGTTGAAGGTGCCGATACCAGCAGGAGCCAGCGGCAGCTGAGAGCTCCGAAGTCTCACATTAATTCTCGGGCCTCGCCGGCGAACCGGTTTTTCGTTCGGGTGATTGATGACTTTCGAAGCTTGGTAGCGCAACTCCCAATCAGCATTCGTCGGTTCCACCACATAAACACCTGGTCGCCCGGTCTGTGTGAAATCAACGGCGCAACCATGAAAGCGGATTTCAACCCACCGGGGCAACAAATCCAGCTTCACCCACCATTTTTTCCAACAGGGGTGCGTATCATGCGGCATTGCTCCAGGTCGCTGCATTTGTTTCGGTAAACCAAATGATTCTTGCTCGTGAAAACCGATGGCTAGTACCTCGCCAGTTGCTTCTTGGACTACATGGGGCGGAGCCAACTTGTGAGTCACTTTGACTTGCATGCCTACAAACAGCGGGCAAAAACCCAACAACTTGCCAGTGTCCGTCATGTTGACATGGAGCAGCGCAGAGCGCAACAGGGCCTGCAGAGAGGTTGAAACAATTTGGTGTTGATCCTAATTTGGTTCCTGTATTCTTCTTACCAGTTGAACAATAACCGCGTGTGACAAACAGCAGCCTCTAATGGCAACTTCCTGCCTTCAGTTGTTTCACTGAACCAGTTTCAAGATTTGATGCAAACAGCGAAGATTACATTCAACATGGTTTAAGCTTCGGAAATTTCCATTTTCCCACTGAAGCGTCCTGATCATGAGCATGCTGTTGAACATGTGCCCTGTCCACTCGCTGAGCAAAAAAAAGGAGTTGTCCAGGAGGCCCCAGTTGCCGACCCAATGACTTTGCAATGACAGCTGCTATACCCCAGGCTGTTCGATTCAAATACGGGCAGAAAGTTTGCCAAAGGTATTGCGGCTGCCCAGTGGTAGAATTTTGCCATGCCACAGGGCCCAGGCTTGTTCGCGCATTGCGGGCTGCTGAAATTTGTTGCATCCGAGCCACCTGCTCCCAATTCACGGCGCTGAACATACCATTGCAGAAATTATTTGTGGAGGCTTTTTCCCCAAGGACAGATGATGGGAAACGATATGTGGGCTTAATTCTTGGATCTTCGCTCCCCAACTGTACTCGACTCAACACCTGTCTCCTCAAAGATTCTGGAACTCTTGCACCTCCCACCGTTCGCATGATTTGCAACAGTTTCAACAAAGGATCTTTGGGCTTGAAACGATACGTTCCTTGGAATTCGACACAGTTGGCCGCAACCAAGTCAAAGGTTTTCAATCCCAACCGCTCCATGTCAGTCAAAGGGCGAACCCGCTGCTCCTTCTTGTATTCATCTCGATCCATGAGAAATGCTTCCATGAGACTTGGACTGCCTCTGGGCACAGGACGGAGCTGCGCAAAGTCGCCGGCATCAACATGTAGTAGGGGGTCACCAAAAGGTGCTTTCTGAGGACCGACATCTTCAACCTGACCAGCAGCACGCTTGCCCCAGTAGGCCCGCGAAGACAAAGTGCCATACAATCCAGGGGCTGCAGCTCCCACTTCATCGTTGTACACCAACACTGCCTGTCCCCATGCATTTTTGAGTTTGTCTTTCAACTTTCGGGATGGTTCCTCCAGCGTGAATTTTGCATTCTTCGTGAGACCAGCACGAGCATGCATCGTCTCTCCTTCAATGAGTCGGGCAGCCGCATTCTGGCTGGCCTGGCGTCGGCATTGCCCAGGCATGAACCAATCGTAGGTCGGGAGAACCACCTGTGTGAGGCAAAAAGTTTTTCCACTGCCTCCAGCACCGTGGCCAAAGATTCGCATTGGTGATACGCCGGAATCTCGAATCAAAGTCAAACGGCCTTCTGGCAGATCCCATTCTCCCAAGCGATTTGCTTGCGTTGCAAAATCCCAAACCTGTTGCAGAGGCGAAATACATAGAACAATCATATTGTACTGCTGTTGGTCCCACGCAGCCCCGCTCTCGCATGCTAAGCGGCGAGCCATCTGAGCCGGCGTTTCTGGAACCAGATTTGGATCTAGGAAGGTGAAAGCGACTTTCGGCAACTCTGCCGGTCGAAGGTAGGGCTCGTCTTCATGTTCATTGTCAGATTCCACTACCAGGCCTCCCTTCTGCACAGCTTCTTTGAGTTTTTTCTGCGCCTGAAGCATAGCGTTCCGAACGGCCACTTCAACTGCAAAAGTGTCTGCTGGGCCAAATCCCCAATTTTTTCTCGCGAAGCAAGTGTTTGATGCCTTGAGCTCATCATCATAGAAGCCACGGAAGTTTTGAAAGAATTTCACGTCGTTGTCTTTTTGGCCTGTTTCCAACAGAAGCCAACCCATTACAAAATCAAATGCACACCCGACATCTATATGCAAGTAGCACATGGCTTTCCAACCTCGTTTTCCCTGTAGAAAAAAGTTGTTTTTACAACCCTCCCTCCCGTGTCTTTTCGTCTCTACGCGCCTCGACCATCTTTCCATCCATGCAAACGGTGCACCACTTCCAGCACATCGGCGTTTTGAATTTCGATAGAAGGCTTGTATTGCAACCCACGCTCTTCTGAGTAAGGCCGTTCCACTATCGCATCATACTCCGATTCGTTTTCAGAGTTCTGGGCTTCCCCTGCTTCTATCCTTGCAGCACATGTTCCCCCCAGCGCCTCATCCCCTTCCTCCTCGAATACCGACACCACATTTGGCCTCGGTCTTTTCCGCGCCTCTGCTAGCAGGTCCATGTTCCAGGACACTTCTGCTTGTATGGTTGCGGCAAATTCCTCCGGAAACAATTGATGCATGTGTACTCCAGTTCCTGTGAAGAGCACGGATGCAGGTTTGGAGAAGTTCTGCAACTGTCGCTTCTGAGTGGTCTCCTCATCTGCTATGATTAGAACTTGTCCGTCTTCCGTCTTCACATCGCCAGCAAAACGAAGCACAGTCACTGCCACCGAATGCGGCAATGCAGGCAAACAAGCCAAACCAAGTGGATGCAGCGCTTGAAATTGCGCGCGGGAATATTTTGGATTCACTTGCGTGTTTGCCCGCTTTTCTTTCCACGGTCCTTTGTAGACATGCCGAAAATGCCCAAGCAACCATGGGAGCAACCATGATTGGACCACAGTTTCTTTTGCAGCATTTGGCAAATACCAGCTTCGAAAAGATGCAACATCGTCTAACACTGCTACTCGGCGTTCTGCTTTCAACTTCCGCCACCCTCGCTGGGCCCTTGTCAACTGCAATGCTTCCCAGGCTTTCCAAGCTTCTGTGAATCGCCCTTCTCCTCTCTTGCGGGGAGCTTTTCTTGTAGGCCAGGTGAAACCAAACATATTTCGCTGATGTCTTGGCCAACAATGAGATATGACGTGTCCAGAAAGCCATCCCACGTCATCACATTGGCCCCGGCACATGCTGCCAGGCTTCATCAAGCACAAGTGGTATAAGGCATTGGTAGCAGCATCGCCATGTCTCGAAGGCATTGTGAAGCCGACCATGTATGGAACCCTCGGCGAGGCTTCCAAGACTTGCACGAAACCAGTGTGTTTCTTGTAGTGGCTCACGAACGGAATTACCCGGTCATATTGAAATTCCTCTGTCCGAGGCACGACCTTCACATACATTGCGTACACATAGTGGCACATCCAACCGAGCGCTGATCCTCGGTGAAACCAATCGTCCAAGAAAGCGTCGTTGGACGCTTGCAGTGTATATTGACCATCCACCCTCTCAAGATGCACCTCCGTCAACATGACATCGCCCTCTTGGTCACCCTGTTCTGCCATCCTTGTCTCATCTCTCCGCAACGCTTCGTGTCCTTAGACTCATTTTATTGCTGCGCTACGTTCCTGGTAAAGAACTTGGATTCTGATATTTACTTTCATCGGACATTTCTTTTTTCAAAAAGAGTTAGCAGAATTAAAACAAATAGCAACTCACCCAAACCCTCCCGAAGCCTCCCCAGACTAAGCGCTTCGTCAAGACTTGCCAGTAGCGATGCGTTCGGAAAGCTTCTCGGCGGGTCAGCAAATGAACCAATTGCAAGGAGCTTCCTTTCAACAAGGAATAGTTGGCCGCACTCCAGAGACGAATCAAAATTCTTCTCACTTTATCTTGCCTTTGCTCAGCTTCTGACAAGGTTGCCTTGACCGGCTCACTTGCAGACAGTCTTGCAGGGTCATGCAAAAGCCCGCTTGCTTCCATGTCCAGCACCTTTCGGACATGTTCCTTCTCCTGCAACTCCGCCTCAAGCCGCTGCATGCCACGGTGCATAAACTGAAGCGTCCGGCCAGTCGTCACATTCGGTTTTGTGGAATAGTCGCACACGTAGAATCCAATCTGTGTTGCGCTCCTCATTGCTTCTATTACTCCGTCCACGACCGATCGCGCAAAGCGTTTCCACACTGCATCTCGCTCACGATCGCCTACGCGTGGTAATTCTGCCTTCCCAGCACGTGGCTCAGACTGCCAAAAGAAAGTGCGACGCGCCAACATCAAGTTCTTCAAATCTTTTTTGCACAGCCACCCCCGCAAGCTTTTCACAGCGTAGGACTTGGAGGCAAGCAAGCCGATGTGTTGCAACAAACCGCGGCACTGCTGCATTCCGTTTGTTTGATGCACTTTGATCTCAAGCGGCAATTGCACGTCGTCCCGGTCAGGATCATCCAGCACAGTCCGGAGGTCTTGGTAATCTAAATTGCCACGATGCACAACAAGTCCGCCAATTAAGGTTGAAGTTTCCCTTGGATGCAACCGAATAGTGTTGATGCGGCCAGGTCTATCTGTGCTTTCCCTTGCATTGATTTGGCTCCCAAGCCCCGGATGATGCCCTGCAAACATTGTCACACTAGCCTGCACGCCTGCCCGAGTTTCTGCTTCTGTTCTCTGATAACCTCGCGGCAGAACAGGGTCTTTCCCAAATCGAGCGAAGACACGCTGGACAGCCACTTTCATTTGCTTGCCACGTCGGACTACCGAGTTCCAACACCACAATGTGACAAAGTGCACATACCCAAACCGACAGTGTTGCGGCTTTCTGTCTTTCTCAGAACTACTGTCATATTTGTAGCATGAAGCTGTGTGGGAATGGAGCCCTGCATGCTCAACAATTCGGGATGCATCAGCTGCGAACGCAGCTAAGTATGCAGTTTCTTCTCCGGTTGCAGTTTCTGTGTCGGACTTCACAGCTTCCCACATAGCTTGCTTCCGCAAACATGACCCATGCGAGCAACCGACAGTGGCTTGCGGCGATCTCAGGTAACTGGGTAACGTCGACAGTACAGAGCCTGTCTGTGGGGCATCCCTTTTCAAGCGACCAATGTTGTTGGCATCGTTCGCAGCATCCTGCTTCAGGCAGTTTGATTGGCCCAGCTTGGGACAAACTGCAATACACATCCTGCAGGCAAGTGGTGCAGCCAGTTCCCGTGCCCCCCTGCCTAAGCTAGCACCCATCACCACAAGATAAAACTGTGACGAACAGCAGGCAAGAAAGTTGATGGTTTGAGTCACACCGGCGTGTCTTGCCACCGCAAGTTACTGTGTTTCAGCTAAAGTTTAAAAAGTTTTTGTGTTCCTTTCTTCCTTTCTTACCCTTGCTTCCTTGCAACTCTGAAGTCAGCAGCTTTCGATAAGTTCTACTTCCTTCCGTTACAAGCTTCTTTCTTTTCACCGCTTTTCTTTTTCTCATTACTTCTTTATGCTGCGGCACCTACATCTACGTACCATGGGCATTCTCAAGGTGTTGCGTCCTGCGTTTGTCCGGATCACGCACATCGGCCTCCAGCTGCCCGTCGAATTTGTCCGCTGCTCTTTGCTTCTCGGAATAGCCCGGACTTTGCAACGGGAAAGTGACATCCTCTGGAGAACGAGCCAAGACCAACGGGACAGCTGCTACGCAAGTGCTCTGCATGCTTTCCACAGCTAGCAAAACTTTGTCCCGCCACATACGCAGTCGGGAGCGACCTTCTTCCGTGCTTCCATCCAGCATGCTTTGAAGCCACTGCAAGCTTTGCCGGCTGTTAAAGATGATGAGCCCATGACCGTGATTGGATCGTCTGCCTTGTTCTTCTATAGGAAAATGGGCACAAGCCACACTGCAACTCGCACCGGCCCACAAGTTCGCAGCTCGGCCATCTGCGTGCACCGTTCCATCTTTGGCCCCATTGTGCCGCAGCATGCCGTCCACAGTCCCCACTCCAAGGACATGCATCATGAACATCTGATAGCAAAATATAAAGAAACGGGTCTGGCTCAAAGGATCCTTGGCAATCATGCACAGCATATCCCGCTTCGATGGTATGTTTGGTGCGTCCTCAAGTAAATCCAAATAATGTTCAGCATCCTCCGCGCCATTGCATTGCCGATGTATTTTGACCACCAATGGATGCCCGAGGTCGTTCACATTCGGTGTCACAAAAGCGCCCACAGGCCCAAACCGCATCATGCTACCCATGATTTGATAACGAAGTGTTACCCTGGAACCTTCTGAACCAACGACGTCGCCACTGAATATGATCAGGTCCTGGCGTGCTGCCAAAAAGCTGGATCTTCTCCAGCAGGGCTTTCCAACGTTTCAAAAAAAATAGTTGTGTCACTCCAACCGCCAAGCATTACTAGTTTAAATTTAAATTTTCCCTCCCACCTTGAGAGCTCTGCGGAGAGCTGGGTCAACTCTATCGTCCGCAGCCACTTGGTTCATACTGCTTGCGCTTCCCAACATCGACATCGCTTCTCGCAAGTGTTCGGCAGACGTTCGAGCTACTAACTTCAAATTTTGTTGAAACCCTTTCTTCCGGACATGCAATCTGGCTTTCTTCATGATCTCTGTCCGCCTCCAACAGTCATACAACACAAACCGGAAAGTCGTGTTTGCTGACCATCGTGCCTGACTGGTCCTTGGCGTTCGGTCGCTATCCAAACAAACACGACAAGAAGTCTCCAGCGGGCATTTCTGCGGCACCTGCAGGTCGGGCGAATAGTCCAGCTCAGTGCGCGTCAGCATCATTGCGGCCCATTGCTGGAAACTAATATGCTTACGACGAGTCAGCCCATATGCCCCATCCCCGTAGGGGAAAAGATCAGGGAACTGCTTCACCCAAAACGAAGGCTCCCACATTTTCAATGGCTCGCCCCCCACAGGCACGATGATGGCAGCTTGCTTGCTGGCAAACATGCCTTCAACATGTTGCTGCATGCAGCTAAAAAAATGGTCTTCTCCCATTTCACCTGCAAGTTGTTGCAATTCAATGATCTCGTGCTGACATGCATTGGAATCGTCCACAGAAGAAATCTTTTCCAGCAAGGTCTCTATCCGGGCAGCTAACGTTTGCAAAAAATAAACAGGGTTGCTGTCCTTCGAGCTCGGGCCGTCCACAATGTATGTCGCCGGCATGGGATCCTCGACAGCTTGCTCTTCCACCTCTAGGTCAGGCTGTTCCTGGTTTTGCAAGCAACAATCAGGATAGTAATTTCCATGTGTTTCCACTAAAGCATGCACAAACCGTACTTCAAGAGAAAGAAAAGAGACTTAAGCAGCTTAAGGTCTACTGCAGCACCTTCAGGCTGCACAAAAGTTTCATCTACATCCAAGGGGGTGATCAACTCCTTGATCACAGCAGGTATGCCACATTCTTCAAACATCCTTTTTGCGGCTTCTTCATCCAAATCAACCTTTGCATACTCAGGGTTGTGTGCCATGAGAAACCGAACTGCCTCGACATAATATTTCCAGTTTACTTCCAACTTCGGGAAACGATCTTTTTCAGTGATGTCTTTTCCACAAAATACCACAGCCAAATGTTCCCGCAAAAACGGCCGCAAGATGTCGAGATCAGCTGGCAACTTCTCCGTGGCAAGCACCCGGCAATCTGCTTGGGGTATTGCAATTGTGTTGCCTTTCAAGACCTGTTGCTGCTCTTCCTGAGGTACTTGCCGCGTTGGCTCTGCTACCTCTTTCGTAACAACAGCCCTAGCCAGAGCTAGAAGTAGCAAGGTCGCATCCGACAACGGATTGCCAGTGCCATCTCTAAAAACGCACGGTGACCTCAGCAGGAGATTGTCGTTTGCTAATGCCATCGCTGGCATATGTGGCTGCAAGCCATCCAGATTGATAGCACAATTCCAGCAGGCTTTCACCGTCGGAGCATTCCCGTGAGCATCCAACTTCACGGACCGGTCTTCGTTCAACACTGGTTCCATTCCTTTTCCATCTAGAAGCCACCGTGCATTTTCTAGAAAAGGATGCCGCACACTGGCTCCCAACAGTTCTCGTTTCGGAATATTTGGCCACCTCTCGGCATAGGCTTCTGCACTCAAGAGCGCATCAACCTTATTCACTCGACTCCTGTGGACACCTAGACAGATCTGCTGGGTGGAATCATCGCCATCATCTGGCCGAATTTTCTCATCGCTGCCGTCAACACACTGCTCATCGTCATCTGCAGGTTTTGTAAACAAATGAAACTGTAGCAGTTCTTCTTTCCACATGGACCGGGCACAGATGACACAAGTCTGCAAGCCCCTTTCCTCTCCTGCAGCCGCTGTCTTGATGTACGTCGCCTTGTTACTGCCATTGAGATAACTATGCGTAGCTTGCCACGTGTGGTTAGACGCCGCCCGGCGAATCTCCGGACCACTGACAGGATATGGTCCTTCCGACTCCTCATGATGCAATACACGTTTCCGATATTCCTCCATCAATCGATCAGGCGTGTGCTTGCCTGCTCTCATGTGAAGCTGCAAATGTTCCATCAGGTTTTCTTCACTGTCTAGATCTGCTCCACACAAAAAGCACGAAACAGGACCTAGAAGCCCAGGGCCTGCTTTGAAATCATGCCGGCCAGCAATGTCCGCAGCAAAGGCTTCTCCTGAGGCTCATGCTTTGGTGTTTTTTTTGTTCGTCTAGACACCGGGAGATAGAACAAAAACCACCCTACTCTACTGTTAGAGTTTACCTCACTTTTCTTAGCAAACGAATCTCCTGCAATATAGTCCTCTAAGGGTGGTTTCGCGCTCCACACATCCTTGCCCAGGATGGCTTCAACATATTCAACTTCTGCTGCTGACAGCCCGCTGCGACCATTCCAGTTTTCTTTCTTGTTCACAACCTTCCGCCACCTCTTAGCCAAGTTGTCTTCTTCCGTAGCTCCTTTTGTCCTGTGTACACGTTTTGGCAGGTTGCCTTCATTGTTTTGCCGGAACGTCGCCGCAGCAGCAACAGTGCTTGCCAAGCCCCTATCCACCCACGGCAAACCATCTTTGAAATCATCTTGGTACAACAGCAGCTGTTGCACCAATTTTTGTTTTCTCGAGCTTGACACCACACAAGAGGGTCCGCATCCAATCTCGCTACATACTTTTTGCAAAATAGCTGGCGTGCTTTCACGCAACTTGCCATCCAACTCCGTGCCCCTCAAGGTCAGCAACCATTCCTTAACCATCTCTACGGCCGAATCATCCACATTGACCTCCTCTACATTGAGCTTCTCCTCCAACAAGATTTCTATTACCTGCGTTTTGTTAAGACGACTCGCTCCAGACTTGCCTTGCCTAGTCAAGAGCGTTCTCAAGGACACAGGCCCTTTCATAGGCAATTTTTGTAACTGTTCAACAACCAGAGATTGATTTTCCCGCTTCAAGATAACCTGGTCCCAATGATGATACAAAATTTCGCACACAATGTCGTGCTTGCCCCTCCCACCGCTAATACCTTCAATCCGGCAAGCTTTGGCCAGACCGCTTAAAGAAACCGCACCTTTCAGTGGTAGACTGGCCAACCTGCTTTCAAGCTCTTCTGTTTGAACCACGTCACCCACCAAGAGCACCAAACAGTGTACAGCAGCTTCATCAGCCATATCAGCAGAAGAAGCTTACAGGCTCCATGATCAACCTATTGGCATAATACCAACTATGATCTTCCAAGACACTAAGCTGATGGGGAATCATGTTTTCGTGTATTTCCATTTCCTGACGGTTTTGATGCCGCTGCTTCACAAGCTGCTACTTGTGGCCCTGCCCCACAAATAAAACCGAACCGAAAACATCTTTCTATTTGAACCCTTCACCCGCTGAAGCTGTCTAGCTGCCTGAGACGGCGTTTGAACCAAACTCTAGCTATCGGCGGAGAAATTAGAAAGGCGCTCTTATGCTCGTATTGATTGTTTTTCTGTTCAAACCATCTGATTCTTTTCAATCCAACTTCCAAGAAGTTTCATGCTCGGTCGTTGCCACCGCTCCTCATCATCCCTAGCATCCACTACTAATATCACACCACCACTACAACTTTCCAAGCAACAAGTCACGCTTCGCCGGCAGCTGCTGCAATTGGATCGTCCTACCGGCTGCCGAGTTCACGACACACCTTCTTGGACGTTTGCTGCCAATCTTTCTGCAATTGGGTGAAGCTGCGTTTTTTGCATGCACTTTGTGCGAAGTTCTGACCAATTGGCTACTGATTAGCTAAATGCGCAAAATTCTCAGCTAAGAAGATCAGGTTCGCCTCGCATTCCACCTGAACAAGCAGGCATCATCTTGGCCATTGAGATTCTATGCCATTTTAAGCTCGCCTGCTGTTACCTGCACTCCTTTCCTTTTCCACACGTACCACATCAGCAAATTTCGTGATTGCTTGGCGCTGCCTCCGTTTCTCCCTTTTCCTTTTCCGATGTCGGCACGATATCGGCAGCCATAACACGGCTACTACTACCCACCAAGCCAGACTGGCACAAATTGCACAGCACACATGTGCAACTAGCTGGCAGACTTGTGCTGCTATGGCGCACTGGATTGTTAGATCGAAAGCTTCTGCCGGTCAGCAGGCTAAAATCCAAACACATGCGCCACTTCACAGAAAGTCTTCCCCCACCACCGAGATTATAACACACTATACATGTCCCAGCCGCTGCGATCACGGGCCATGCCGCGGAACGCTGCTTCTGCTAGTCCTTTGTGGCGAAAATCAGCTGACTATACTCTTTCACAAGATGTTCTGCTTCAAGGTGAACACCAAACCAGAAACAATACATTTCAGTGATATATCATTTACATCCAACAAAACTGGACAGTCAAACTGCGCCACCGTTGCATTTCTAATTAATCCATCACTGCCATCTTGAGTAGTGCCACTCATGCTCCACCGGCAGCTGCCTTTGCAACATCTTCATAGGGGCTGCTAAGGCCACGGCAGACCTTCTTGGACGTTTGCTGCCAATCCTTCTTGACTTCCAAGTAGTTGCGTTTTTTGGCATGCACTTTGTGGGAAGTTTGCACGTCATGGATCTCTTTCTTGAACTGGTCGATGATTTGCTTCCGGGTCAGATTCATGCTTGAAGCTTTCCAAACATGGGAGATGTGCAATTTCGTTACCTTGTCCTCCCCAAATTCCACACCTGCAACAAGAGATGATAGAAAAAAAACCATGCATCTGCCCTTACATTTATACCAGGCTACCTTGCATTCCACAAGCAAAAACCACAACTAAAGACATGTTAGTCTTTTCCGGCCTGCAACCACAACCAAAGCTGGTTGACCAGTTTCAAGCACATATTGCGTTTGAACCTCCAACGGCACCTTCGCAACGGTGTCCACTGTCTGTCCTTCTGAAACCAGGCATTGACAACTCACGTTGGTGATGCTGGCGACTTGCTTCTGGTCGATTGCTGTCCTCGGTGCGAACTTGCCTCCTTCCAGCAGCACCAGCGGACGCAACACGGAAACTCCGTTGACTTGAATGTAGCCAAAAGACGGTTTCTTGATGTCCTCCAAGCTGCAAGGATACAATGCTGCCGTCAATCCCATGAGATTGGTGGGTGCAGTGTCAAAATAGCTCACAGCTGCTGCTCTGAGAATCAAACTCACCTGCGATGTGGCAGGATCATCGGGGTTTGCCTTCACCTGGCGGTGAATGAACAGCCTCCCTCTCTTGAACATTGTAGGGCCTTGCTTCAGCAATCGCTGAAGTTCGTCCTCTGCGTCCATTGGCAAGTCTAGCAATGCAAGCAATGGTTCCGCATTGCTGCGGCACGCAAACTGCCCTGTGTGATCAACCACCTCTACTCGGGCAAAAAAACCTTTCTTCCCATTCCAATCAGCGGTTGTGTCTACTGTCACTAGGGCTCCTTCCACTGCAAACATTTCATCTTCCGATCCTTCCACGGCTTTGCCCAATGCAGACAAAACCAAACTTGAGGTTTGGGTAGCGGTTTCTTTGGCCCAATCATCCATGGATTTGCGGTTCTTCCCTTCCAAGTAGATGTTCTCTTTCAAGCAGATGCTGTTCTTGGGCTTGGCATTTTTGATGCGATCGAAATATTCTGCATCTTCGCGCGTCAGTTCTTGACGGCGGAGCACTACCAATTGGCTACGGTCAGGCACATTGACACACTTGTTCATGTCTCCACCTTCAGCAAAACCAATCCAATAGTTCTGGAGCACTATCATGACTTCCCGAGCCTTCAGCACCTTGGTCAAGTCTTGCCTGTGGTTTTCGTGCCACACCTTGACGCCCTCCAAAGACGTCTCGCCATCACTGATTGAGATGGAGCGCACGGCCCCCTTTGTCGTCGTCTCCACATCTCCTGCAGAAGTGAGCACCCCGCATATGGTCACAAAGCTCGGATCTGTTAAGTGCCGAAGCCCTCCCAGTTCTTGACGGCGCGGCAAGTAGTAGGGCGGGAGCACTTTGTCTTCCAGGCAACCTGCCATGAAGGGCACCGTCTTCAAAGAAGCCTGCGGCGTTCCAAATTTTTCAATCACCACAGTCTGCATCACGGAACATGACAGCTGGTTGGTCCGGGAAGGAGTCACTTTTCGGAGCTCTTTCAATCGGAAGACTGCCGGGCTCTGATTTGGCATCCAAAATTTGGAGCGCTGCCCACTCAAGTTCAACCGTTGGGCTTCCTGACCAAAAAGGTTCTCGACCAAGTGAATCATATCTCCATTGGCATCCATGACCATCACGGCGCATACCGTGAAAGGTCCTTTCTGCCCTTTGACTTCGTAACTTGTCACACTCATCGTTTTCACCACAATGTCAACAGCAAATCCCGAGCTCGAGGTCAAAGCAGCGAGCCGATCACCAGGTACTTTTTCACCTCCAGGCACCACTGCCATAGCTTGGGCCACTTCTGTACAAGACAAAACTTCACGGCTGCACTTGCGGGAGACTTGAACCTTCTAGCTTGCTACCTATTTTTTTTTGCTTTGCTTGTCACCAGTAGTCCAAAACTTTTTCAATATATTCCAACAGCTAAGACATGAAGTTGCACCTGGTTTCCATTCTGCGAAAATATGACCACTACCCTTTGCAGGGACGAACATAAATGCGAATGAAGATGTCTGTGTGAGCTGTGTCCACCACAAAATCACACCCATGCAGCTTAATATCAAAACCCGGGCCTTTGCTGCAGCCGGCAACACTTGGGCAAAGCAAATCTTGCTGCTCCAGGATTCCGGGGAATGCTGACGGACAGTGTCTGCAAAGCTGCCAAACCACTTTGGGTCATCATAGAGAAATGCATCAAGAAGGAAAAGTTTCAAATCACCGTGCCACTTTTCTATGGTTAACCGTTGACCGCTTCAAACATCTCTCTCTGAACTTACAATTCCAATACAAAGCTCTTTCACTTTGATCATGTCATTTCATGGAAGCAGCAACACAGCCTCTATCAAAAACCAGTGTCCAGACAACAAATGCAAACATGTTCAGTCATTGGTCGGTGGCACATCCCTTCCTCATCCTAATGCCGCCAAAATTTTGAATTACAGATTGAAATTGTTTGCAGCTCTTGCGAGAATCTAGTTTGACAGCAGTCGTTTTGTTCTTGGGATCTCCGGCGTTCATGGCCAGCAACAATCTCTAACACGCTCCTGAAATCAGAACGCCGCTGCTTCTCCATTCTTCTTGTTCGCCAACCTCCCATCCTCCCTCGGCGACAAACAACGCATCCCGCACGATCCGATTTTCTATCTTTCTTCTCGCTCGCCTCCCATCCTCCCTCGGCGAGCACCAAAGAATCATCCGCAATGCAAAACTTTCCAGCTTTCTGCCTTCCTCGCCAACCTCCCGTCCTCCTTCAGCGAATGCAACATCAAACAGATTCGAAACCATCCGTGCTACTTAGGTTGTCAACAGTTACAACCTATTGTAAGTAGGGCAGTTTCCGCCCCAAGAAAGAACACTAAGCGAAGTACAAACCACAAGCTTCAACTTTCTGTCCGGCATGTGCCGCCTGAATTCGAACGTTTTGAAAACAAAGGAGTCTGTCACAGGCAGCTCCCCAAAGGTCAGGTCAAATCAAATTAAATCACTTTCACAACCCAATGGCTTGCCTTCATTACTACCCATCTGCAGATAAAACAGGATAGACTTACCAACCCTTGACAACAGGAAAAGAAACCAATCAATCTAACGATCAAATTTCTACCCTAGCCCTCCGCACTTTGCCCTTGTCGGTGTCGATCATCCCGACGTCGCAAAACCTAAATATATACGCTCAGATGTGCCACCGGTGACTTTCAATTGCGGCACAATATAAGCAACAGTTGTCCATCCAGCTGATTCCTTGCTGTGCCCTGCTTCCAGGCTCGATGCTGCACATCATATGCCTGGATAACTCCAAGGGGTTTGATGTCCTTCCCAAACTAGCTTTTAGAAATCCGACAATTCGATGCATCAACATGTCGAAATCAACAGATCCTTCCACAAACAGCATCTTTGCACTTGTTTCACCGCTCCTGGAACGCTCGGCGTGCGGATTTCAGCGTCCCTCCGCTTTTGGGGCATGACAGGTTCATGTTGGCGCAAAGGGAGAGTGGACTCCGACATTTCTATGGAGGAGTCGATCAGGTTGCAGTA